AAATATTGTTCGACTTAGATAAAATTTGACTTATAGATTGCTAATTAATGGAAAACACAACAATTTGGCATGTAAAATATGATCGACTTAGAAATTATTCGACTTAGACACAGTCAACTTAAGCAAGTTTAACTGTAGTTTAGGTTTGACTGGAATGAAAACTGTGGTCAGGTACAGTATTGAATAAAGATGGGGAAGAGTAGGCCTATCTAGAGATTTCGATCCAACTCGGCCACAAGTCAACTCGGCCACAAGTCGACTCGGCCAAACGTCAACCCGGCCACAAGTCAACTCGGCCACAAATCAACTCGGCCACAAGTCAACTCGGCCACAGTCAACTCGGTCACACGTCAATTCGGCCACAAGTCAACTTGGCCACACGTCAACTCGGCCACAGTCAACTCGGCCACAAGTCAACTCGGCCACAGATTAGTTGCAGCCTACTACTACACTGGCTTTGAGGGAATAATTAATGGCCTCGCTATTAGTATAAAATACTAATTTGTGTTTTAAATAATATATTATTAACTTACAAGTTTTTTTTTTTACACTTTACTTGTCACTCTATACTCTACTATAATCTCCTAATTATAATATACAGTTATTACTAACTTAATTATGGTTTATTTTACATAAATAATATTGTAATATTTTTGTTTTTAATATATTTTGTTTTCGTTATTATTACCGTATTATCATCATTATTATTATCATTATTACTAGTATTATTATAATTACCGTATATATTACAGTAATATAATTTTAGGCCTATATTTATTTTTTTATAGGAATTTACCAGGAAAGATCTGTTCCTTTGTACACCATCAAACGTGAAAGAAACTAATACTAATATCATGAACATAATTTCTAGTTATAATTATATTATTATTATTTTGCCATATTATTTTATTTTTTTATCTGTATTATTTTATCGCTTTTTAAAATTAATTTTATAAGTTATAATGGTGAAAATGTTCAATATTCTGTGGAAATTTTTATTATAAATGATTTAAAAATTGTAGTGAAAATGATATCAGTGGCAATTTTTCTTATGCTATATTTTTATACTTTATTATTATTTTGCCATATTATTTTATTATTTGTATCTGTATTTTTATGGTTTTTATTATAAATTTTATAAATTATAAAGGTGAAAATGTTTTTAAAAAAATTATTAAATCAAATGCGCAAGTAACAAGTAAAAAGTCATAAATAATAATACAGAGATGTTTCCCTCTGACGTGTTATGGTATACCCTTAATATGTTCCAAAATACTTGCAAAAAACACACGTCAGGTAGGGAAAAAATCGTTTGTATTAATGGTATTGAATTAATTTGTTATTGTTAACGTATAATTCTATAGGGCCTATCTGAATTTTTACAATACTATGCAATAATGTTACAGTTTAACTACCGAACGTTTTACATATTTGAGTTCGCGGCTAGATTGCAGACATCATCATCCTAATCTAATCGCGAATATTGTGTGAAATCTGGATCCATATAAATGCCTACATGAAATTGATTGAAAGCTCAAAAAAGTTTAATAATGATATGTGGCCGAGTTGACATGTGCACGAGTTGACTTGTGGCCGAGCTGACTTGTGGCTGAGTTGACTGTGGCCGAGCTGACTTACAAACACAAAGCAAAAGGTGAAAAGAAAACATTGAAATTACTTTGTTGTTTCAGGACCACGGGCTCAGTATAATATTAATATTATCATCTTCAAAAACCATGATGATCACTTCCTTCCGTATAATGGATCACATAAGCTCGGGGCTAAGATCCGGAAATTTCTGGCTTCTCAGTGTCTTCTTGGCTAGCCTAGCTATGCCCTAGCCTAGCTAGGCCTAGCCTAAGAAAGTATAGCCTATTAAATCTAAGCCACTCTACTATAAATGAGTAAAAACTTTAAATATTTGATTAAATACAATAATCCACTATATACCTTTGGAAGATTATTTACGTCAAATTGTAAAATTTCGTTCAAATCACTGAACATCGTGATATAAACGCAAGAGTTTTGAGTTCCTAAATGTGATGGGATGTAAATCAGATGTAAATAATGAAACAGCGCCATCTATTTAGATTTATGAAAGATGTTTGAAAGAACTATTTTCATTGGGCTGTTGTACTATCAATAAATACGACCAGCCAATCAAATTTTCGTTTGTAAACGAGCCTACTCATGTAGTCGAAGGTTGGCGAATTCTCAAGTGGAGTCTAGAGAGTTCTCGCGAGACAGTTGAGTTTTCCTGAAGGTTCAGAAGTTTTTCTGAGGTGGAGTATAAGTATGGACGACGATGAAATGCTTTATCAGAATCTCCGTGAAGCTTCGCTACATAGACCAGTAACCGTAAGGGATCCACTTCCTCCCGGTTGGGAGATGTTAATAGATCAGCAAACGAACTGTCCATTTTTTGTCGATCACAATACAGAAAGTACATCGTGGAAAGATCCACGCATATTCAAGGTAAGGCAACTCCGTGTTGAGGTTATTCGTATTTTCATAGTTAACCAGATAATTATGACGATTTTCTTTCTGCTTCTTGCAATCTTGATAAACAATTACATAGTATTTTATATTGACACAATATTTTTGAGTTACAGTATTTGCTTATTAATCTACGAATAGGAGGGGTCTAGTGTCATGCTAGAGTGCTGGCTAGGCTAGCTCTACCTAGCTAAATAGGGCCTGTCTCGACTGAGAAAGTAGGCTAGGAGAGGGAGGGTTTAGCTATAGAGCCCCAGCTAGAAGCATGGGCCCCTTCATGAACAGAGGGTTAAGCTGACCGGACTCCCGAAGATGACTGTCAGTAATTCAGTTAATTACTTTTTATGTATTATTATTTTATCTAAGCCTAAGGGCCGCTGAATTCTATTTATTTATTTTTTTATTTATTTAGGCACACAATACATGTGCCAAGGATTGTCAATAGCGAATAATATATCACTGTCCTACTTGTAGGTGACAATCCCTTACACAAGACAAACATACACACACGATGCTTTACACAAACTAAATCTCAATATGAGATTTATAGAGTGGAGTTGTTTTGGTCGTGAGAAAAAATCCTGCAACACTGACAGGAATTGAATCCAGGACCCTGGGATTGGAAGGCAAGCTATTCAACTCCAATAAATAATATACTTGTTTAATTTAAATCAAGTTTAAATCGACCTTCTCCTACCTATAGTATTTTTTAGGTTTGGACGGTTTCTTGATTCTTGTGTGTATTACCAACTGAATCTAAACCAAGCTTGTTTTGACATTTTCATTGGACATATGACTTTTCAAAGATTTGCTATGCTGACAAGAAAAATGAAAATATGAAATTGCCATGATTATCATGACATTTTGAATGAATAACAGTTGCATAATTTTCATACCACCCTGGTTTAAACAACTCACTGAATGTCCTGTGACTAACTAGGTTATATAAGCCTTACTGAAAATCGAGAAACGGTTTGTAATCAAATTACAGTACCAAAATACAGGCTGTGTGCATCGCAAAGCATTTCGACTTCAATTTTTTCTGTGGGTATTGTAGTTGATAGGTTTATAACGTACATGACCTTCATAATTACACCAAATGCAGTTAATAATTATAATCTTTCTTCACACGATAAAGTTACCGCTTCAATTTTAGGATTTTGTTCATGATCTAAGCTGTTGTCCATTCTACCCCAAAACATTCCTTTACACTGCATGCTGGGAATCTGTAATGTGAGGTCTCTCCTAGTACTACGGTGCCCTCTTTTATCCCTTAAAATTATAAGTCACTTGATTGCGTCCACCAACATCTTGATCTTAATTCAGAATGGGTTGTGACCTTCTGACAACATAATATTAACATTTTGACTTAAAGGTTGACCTTGGTCAAATTGGACCGCTTTTTTGTTGCAGATAAATACTGTGCCATTGGCCTTCTGGATTCAGAATTAATTCTCTGAGAAAAAAAAAAAGACACTTCAAAGCACAATAAAAGAATCCTTTTTTGTTCTTGGCCTGTATTTTTATACTGCCACAGGGATTGATTTTTGAAAGAAATTGTTCCAAATTGTGCAACTATAGCCAGTAGAAACGCACCTTAAAAATTCCATTTCACCACCGTAACAAAAGAACATTATTGAAATTCTAAGCACAATTGGTTAAAGTATTTATTTATATAATTGTATATAATATGCCCTGTTTTAAGCCTTTATAAATTGAAGGTCAACAGACCTATTGTTAATTGCATACGGTAATTGTTGAACCTACACTTAATTCAGCAAGTGGGATAAAATTATAGAAAACTTTTTTCCTAATTTCCGATTTTGTTTATGCCTTGCAGACCAAATATAAAATTTGTATTTCAAATAATCAATATTAACGGTGGGCGATGAGCTCAACAAATCAAGGTACAAGAAATTCTCATCAAAGTGTCCAGTTTTTTACATGATTAGGTACTGCAAAAGCATGGTCACCTTAAGCCAAAAGCAAAGCAATAAAATTTGTAATGTTATTAATAATATACTGTAGATTTGTGTTTTGGCTTACTGCATTTTCTCGTAATTACTGGAAATGTCATGCCTTGGAAAGTTACATAAACTAAAGGAAATACACATTTTCCCCTAACCAATCAGAAAAGAGGATTCTGGCCTGTAAACTTAATCATGCATGGCCAACTGAATAAAGTGTGTGTGCTTTAACATCACAAATCAGTTGCCAGGCTTGAAGTTAGACAAATTTTGTGGTATCAAATTTTAAATTAATTTGCGATATGGCTACATTGCTGAATAATTCTCTGCTCATTGGTGAAATGGATAGATTAAACCTTATGTCTGTAAGTAAGTATTTCTGTTAAAACATATTGTGTAAATTTGTTTTATAATTCTGTACTCAATTTCTCTGGAACTTGATTTTTGATACATAACTGTTTTGAATGGGCGTGTGTGGCACTCTGCTTGACAGATAACCATACTCTTGTTTTTAAGTGTTACAGTAATAGAGTCAAAATATGAATTCTTTGTTTTCTTTTCCAATGTTTAGACTAGGCAATTAAACAGAAATACAAATCAAATTTTTTTGTGAACTGTACTGATTGTAGATTTTGTTTTTTATTAATGTTGTATTGGATTTTTTTTTTAATACTAAGCTCATGTAATTAAACAAAAATCATGCATTTGAGATTGGATTTTCAGTCAAAAAGTTTAGAGAGCTGCTGTTCTAAAGGTTGTTTATTCTTTGTTTACTTTTAGACAATGCATAGAGGTATGGGAAGTATATTTGATGAACCACTGTCTGACAAGTTCCATTGGCACAACAGACCAATCACTAGAGGAAAGAATTATAGGAGCCCAAAATCAAGTCCTGTGGTTCAACGACGACATGTTAGCACAAAATCTCCGTCAATTTTCAATAATGAAAAGCGGGCTCCTCTCAGGGTAGAGAGCCCAGAGTTACGCAGACAAGGGATGGTGCTGGATGACGTTGGATTCAGCATGCCTTTGCAACATAATGGTAATCATGACTATCATAATCAACATGAAAGCGGGCTATCTGCTGAAGATTTTACCAACAACTTGCATCTGGAAAAGATACATCAGCAGCATAAATCAAGTCCAAAATCAAAGCAAAGGAATCATGAGCTCGATGACGAACACTCTGCACATTACGTGAACCATCAGTTTAATGATCACAACGGTCCTATTTTCCCTGAGGTTGAAGAAAGTTATAGGCAGAGCACAAGAAATGGTCGCAGTAAAAATTCCTCTCCTCTTTCGTCAAGGGAATTACGCAGTGGGGCACTTCATGTTCCGAAACGTCCTCCAATAGATACCAATGATTTGTATGTGAATGGATTTTCTGCATCAAAAAAGGAGAAACAGACAACACCAGAGCCCATGTCACCAATATCTCCAGAAAGACTGTCTTTCTTTTCATCTGCGCATCTGCCTCCAAATCCCAAAAATATACCTATTGAAATACGCAGTCCAAAATCTCAGCGTAGTAAGAATCAAACATTTGTTTCAACTGCTGAAGTTCCAAGAAGTGACGGACAAACATTTACAGAGCCTCGCAGTCCAAGATCAAAGCGTTCCAATTCACCACGACTTCCAAAAAATGACAGTACCAATGGCCAGGTGAATGACAATTCGCGTTCTGATTTGAAGGACACACCCCCAAATCTCATTTATATCCGGCAGATTCATAAGGAGGCCGAAAGTTTAGGCCAAAAAGTGGTTGGTTTTAGCGGGAATAAAAAAGACAAAGAATATCTTGTGTTAGAGGAGATGCTGATGAGAAAACTTCTAGAATTGGACAAGATTGAAACTCATGGAGATAATGACATTAGATCGGCGAGGAAAAAAGCTGTCCACACAATACAGCAATATCTAGAATTACTTGAATCAAAAGTGAAGACCTAATGAATTAACTGCAGTAAATTTTATGGAAAGTATTTTTTTTAATAATTAAGCTAATTGCATTTTATTCATTTGATATGATAAATGCAGACAGTATAATTTCAAGATGAGTTTTATCATGGAGGAAAAAAATCCTCCATGGTTTTATTATATACAGTACAGTACTTGCACTAACACAGTAACTAAAGTTGTTGTAGGCACAATTTATTGCAGTACCACTTCAATACAATGGTTTCATGTCACAAATTGCAGTTAATGATTTTTCAAAAAAGATTCATACAATAGAGATGTGCATTTTGGCATTTGTGTGATTCCTGACAAAATTGTTTTCTCAGATAATTTGTAGCATATTAATATTTGAAATGTGTGTAGGCATTAAGTATCTGAGGACCATGTTAACCCTACTTTTTATGTTATGTTCCATATCTTCTCACGTATAAATCAAGGCTAAAAATAGCAAATTACAATCGAAAAACAGAGGGTTATCTTATATGCGCAACATACACATTTTTTTTTTTTAGTCATGTTTGTCTTACAGACAGTATGTACAGATCTCCGTAACTATTACAGAAATGAAGCTACTAACTGTTAGTAAGGATGAATGCAATTTAAAAACATATAAAAGCCCATAAGATTAATAGTATTATTTGGAAGATTAACCCAACATTTGGCTCTAGTTTATATCCAGCTAGATGCAGTATCAAGACCATAAAAAGCAGTAAAACTCCAATGGTGAAACGGGAAAGGGGGTGGGGGGGCCATCTTTATGCCTGACATGCAAAAATCTCAAACTCGGGGGTCGTCTTATATGCGAGAATTTAAGGTAAACTATACAGATTGGCTTCTGTATGTGGTTGGGGAGGGGGGTATTGTACTGTGGAGAATGTAATATATCTTCCTGCAGTTGTGTTTTAATATTGTTGTTACTGGTTAGCAACATTATATTATAAAAATTATTTTAAAAAATAGTATTCTTTTTGGGTATCGTTTTTCTCTGACTGAATTATGGCCATTTTAATATTAATAAATATTATTTATTTTGCAATAGAATATTATTGATGATGTGGTTAATATATTTCAGGTGTAACAACATGGTGTTATTGTTTCTGTGTGTAGGCAAAGATGTATTATAAAGAGGCTTGCTCATAATATTTTTCTGTTGAGAATAGTTTCCTGAACTTATGATTCATCATATTGTCTAGTACTCTATGCATAAAACTGGTTACTGGTGATGGTTGGTCTGTACATTGCAATACAGTCCTTTTTCTAAAAAGTGTATAGAGTGCTCATGGTTTACATATACACAGATTAACGGTTTATATAATGATAATAATCATAAATAACTATTATTACCATTAGCATCATCGTCATCATCGTTGTTGTTTAACATGTAACTTCTAGCAAGGTCCTAGTTTAGAACGAGGTACCGCTATGTGTTCGTCCCTGCAGTACATGCATTTATTTACTAGTTCTGATCCAGGTGATCGTCAGCAAAGGCAGAGATGACTTGGTTGATGATTTGCATGACTAAAGCATAATATAACACATCACACTAGGCCTACCTGCCATTTAAATACAAATCGAAATTTTGTAAGAAATTTGAGGAAGCTTCATAATGCTGTCTCATTTCAAGGAAGGAATGAGTCATTGACACATAATGTGTATATGGATATACTGTAATCGTATTTGATATATCTATATTTGCAGGGACTGGTTTACTCACGGTTCATTTCTACCAAACCCCACATATAAATTAGCCCCTCAGGGGTGAGCGGTTGAGTATGGACACAATCAGAAACTTCCTTTCCAGCCCGATCAGGGAGACTGAGATTAAAATAGCGTAGGCCTACAATCTGGACAAATATTAGGTCGGCGATTTAATTTGGATTAGCGCTAATTATAGCATTATGAATTACTGAAGAAAATGTAGGACTATTGAAGCCTATACTATTATACCCTATAAGCAAACGAAGTAGGGCATACCTTGGAAGCTTTCAAACGGAAACTGGCATGGACAGATTAAAGGTTGTAAAGGAAAGCTCCATAAAAAATTTCCATAAAAAAAAAAAGGAAAAAAAAAAAGAAATTTAAACTGAAGTCTCACAGTGCCATTACCGGTCATATAAGTGCCATAGCCTTAACATTTCATAATTGAACCGTCTGTTAAAGTGGTGGCTCCAGAAATTTGCCGGCAGGGAGTCCTTCTGGGAGGAGGTTTTGAACCAAAGGGATTACTGGACTGGAATGAAAAAAAAAAAACTCTGGTATTAGGGTTCATAGGGAGTTTTTATGGCTTAGTATGGCCTAAATGGTGCTTTTAGGCCACAGTATTAAGGATTGGCAATCAAAATGACGTTGTTTTGGTATTATTTTTATTTTTTTAATCTTTGATCCGACGACCTCGTCGTGGCGTCGGACGAGAGTGGAGGGGAATAACCCCAGGCCTGTCCGATGGGGGAAATTCCCTCGCTGGAATCGCCCACCAACTGTGCCTGCCCCTGCACCCCCATTATTCAAAAATGCCGGATCCGACACCAATGAAGGAGTGGAGTTATTCGACATACATAATAACTAAAATACTGATAGGTCACTCTAGATGAAGAAGTAAGTTTGTTGTAATCATTGTACATGCATTATAGGCCCAGGAATATGCCACGCACTAAGTGGAAAATAGCCCTCTTGCTTTTTGACAATCGCAATAACCATTAACTCCTATGGTGAAATGATCTTCCCATCATACCAGAATATTAATTAAATGATGATGACCGCAAAGATTTGCTAATTACTGCAGAACTTCATCCAACTTACACAGAGACAATATCGTTATATACTGTATTATTCAATCATTAACATAATTCATTAATATCACCAACATCATCACTATTCATATTATTATTATCTTTTTAAATTATTATTATTATTTATTATTATTATTATTATTATTAATATTATTATTATTGTTATTATTATATTATCACTAACACTATTATTATTATTATTATTATTATTATATTATCATTACTATTACTAATATTATTGTTATTATTATATTATTACTTTTACTAATATTATTGTTATTATTTTCATATCATCAACACCATCAAAATGCAATGTAATTATCAAATAGAGGCCAAAAAATATCCAGATCATAACTGAGATTAACGAGGTGTGCACATGAGCTAAATGTCATTTCCTTTTTGATTAATTACTAGTTATGCTAATGAAAAAAAAAACCATAGAACATCACTGCATTACATAAGGATCCAACAAACATTCTACTCGTCTGCTGATCTCGCTTGGTCGTTGCATCCCCGGCTAAAATGCATATAGGCCTATAATATTTCATATGCCGCCTTGTGCTTGTCAATAATAGACAGGTTCGAAATACCAGACCAACCTAATAAGGCTTTCCTGTCTTCGAGGTATCTTCGTGATTCACCGTTGTGCCGTGAACTTGAATATCTTTCTTGCCAGAAGGATGTTCGGATGAAAACGAAATACATTTCAATCGTGACGTATCGTATTGGTTGATCCGGCTACACTATGTGGATTACAACTGATACTGAACCAAATCAGGTATGACATCAAGTCGGTCGCCTCAATCCCATGATCCGTCGCACAACAATGTAAAGTTAGAAGTCTAATACTGTAAGTGCAGAGTCAATAATATAAGTTTGGTTTATTTTTATAAGAATAGAGCAAAATTCAATAATGCTCAATGTTGAATATTAGAAGCGGTTTCCTCCTTAAAATGACAAACATTGTTTATCAACTAAACTTATTTCATTTGTTCATCGTCACAACTTTTGCCTAAAATTTAAATTCAAAGTGTCAAGCTTCCCAGACGAGGGGGATTGAGGCAGCTTTTCCCGATGGCTTCTCTAAAGTCACCCTGTTTGAATTAACTCGTTAACGCTGATATTATAAAACAATTTAATTCATTATAGCCGAACCTTCATTCAATCCTAGCATAAAAAACATTGTATAGTATAATGGATCGCCAAAAAGCAACAATTGATGTTTAAGATTACCACTAAACTATAAGCCCCATTGCCATGCAAAAGCAAAAATTATAAAGGATGACCGAGTGATTTTCAATTGTATACGTGGCGTCATTATTATAGCAAACCACGGGGCTGCCTTGTAATTGTATTTACATTCTATGGTATCTTTGAATTTGTTCAGAGTTAAAACGGTGTCAGCATGATCTCTATAGTTTTGTTTGAATGACTTAAATCGCGCAGATTCAATAATATTAGTACTCTTTATTTTTATTTAAAGACTTCTCGAAAAATACAATGTTCAAGGTCTGTCTCTTATACACATCTAGATGTGTATAAGAGACAGGCGCTAATTATTAGAAGCAATATAATTTATTAATTCACAAATATTTCAAACACTCCTGTGTTCTTCCTCAGTGTGAGGACAACTGACAAAAAATACAAAGTAAAGCAATATTATTATTATTATTATTATATATATACTGTTCGAAATAAAAGAAACTCAGATACAAGAGTCGATAAAGTATGTTCTACACTCGCAAATTTCAGATTCGGTGCTTGGTCTCAATATTATGTTAAGTGAATAGATTTGGTTTTTTTTAAGAAAGACAAATTAGTAAGAAAAAATAGACCTTTCCGGAGTGTCAATCAAACTTCACAACTGACTAATCAGAACAACGCTAGGAATACGCGCGCGTCTTACAAACACACGTGTTGTCCCACAAACGCATGTGTTCGCGTATGTTTTAACACTGCCGTCTTGTGGGGCCTTAGCAACAAAATCCAAGGGGCGGAGCTTAGCAGAAAGGTCCATTCCTGACAGGGTTTGAAGAACTTGCTAACCATCACAGATCTACTTCTCTGTTTTCATTTAGGCATATGGTTAATTTTCCAATTGGCCTTATAAAGATATATTAACTGTACCGTACATCAACACGGTTCATTAGGCATTATTCAAAGTTTGTAAATTATATAGCGTGGACAATCAAAAAAGAATCTGATTGGTTGAGAGGATGACAGAAGGCTTCCTTGCGACCTCTTCTGTAATAGTCTGCTTCCCTTAGTTATGTTGTTAAATTGTCGACATGTTGAACCTTCTTATCAACAATTCGTTAATTGCTAATATAGGTTGTTTTTACGTATACCTTATCTCATCATTTTTCTTATTAGTTTTCGTTTTATTATATAACTTTTTTATATCTCATCGTTTTTATACAAAAATATGTTTCGAAAAATCTTAAACATTCCTTAACATTTTTGAACAAAAAGTACATTTTGACAAAATGTATTGCGAAAATATATGATGTTGATATAATTATAATTCATTTTTACAATTGTCTACTCTAATTATAATAATAATACTGATAATGATAGGCCATGTGATTATGACAATACCTAACAATTATATTCATTAATTAGAATTGTGATAGAAAAAATAATAATATTAATAAATACTGCAATATAAATAGAATTACACTAATATTATTAAAGGCATCAGCTGGACAGCAGCAGCAACAATAATAATATCAATATTTGGAAAAGGTTTGGTAGAGGGTTCCAACCGACAGACTAACGATAGTCTATCGTTCGGTCGGGTGAGAATTAATATTTGGTAATTCAATCAGTCCAGGTAAAACGTTTTGGACTTTGCCATCTGAAGAATTCTGTCTGTAGGTCCATTTAAGAACCATACCCTCGGATTGGTCACTCCTCCCTAAAATGGTCCTCAAAATGCTGCTTTGGCCATCTAGGACTCGTAGGTAACAGTAGAAATTCGTGGACATGGACTGAGACAAATATCTGTCTAAGATGGATTACTTAACGGGCGCAATAACGAGAAAGAACTACATTCATATTTAATAGATGGTTTCGGAGCGAAAATCCTATATCAAAAACATTCATATCCAATCAATTTTCAAGTGTCATTGTCATAGAACGTGATACGGGTTTAAGTCCAGCGAATCGAAGCGTTATGGTGCAGCTGTCAGAATAGGACAGTCAATGGGTATTTGAATGCCCAGGGGATTACGACACGTTTAATTATTCCACTATTCATATTCACGCCATAAAAAATGAAAAGCATTTCATGGGTGGCGTATACCTAACCTACTAC